CTGTCCGCCCCGGTGAGCGGTGAGCCGGACACTAGCAGGTGTGAGCGGAGACGGGATGGATGCGCAGCGGGAGGACCACCAGGGCGAGGCTCCCTGGAGGAAGATGTCGGGAGAGGTAGGCGGGTGGCAGGACAGGCCGGGGCTGAGGGCTGAGGATTGTCAGGTGGAGGTTCTCAGAAGGAGCTGAGAAGCCCTCGAGGCCATCCCGGGGCGCCATTGAGGGCCTACTGTGCGCCAGCACCGGGCTCTCGCCCCCGCCCCCCGCAGGCCTCTGTGAGCCCGCGAGCCTCGCTTGAAGGGTAGGGATCGCTGAAGCCCTGGCTACGCTCGAATAGCCATGGGCCACCGGAGTCCCGGCCGAAGTCCCGCCCGAGTCTGAGGTTATGCAACGCGAGTGAAGGATGTGCCAGGCGCCCAAGGATGCGAGAGGCCGTGTGCACGGCGGTGCGCGCGGGCCAGAACCACCTACCAGTGTGCAGGGCCTTGGCAGGTCACCATTCCACTCTGATTTCCTAACTGGCTTTCCTGCGGGTGAGGTAGGCAGTGGTCCTTTTTCTGGTCAGGGACGCCTCTGAGGATCTGATGAGTTCCTAAGTGTGGATCCTGCCCCTAAGAAATCCCATTGTCTGTCTGTCCCTCTATCACACACACACACACACACACACCTACAATATCAGAGGCCCATCAGAAACCCATTGCACTGTCACCATCATGAATACAGCCATGAGGGTGATGGCAGCAGTCACAGGCTGTGCCGGGCACAGCTGCAGACCCCCCACGACAGTAGCCTGTGCAGTGCAGATGGTTCAGACCCCAAGACCCCTGGCCAGCAGCCCTGTCAGCAGCAAGAGGCGGTCACCGCACCTGAGTGGTCGCCTTCCTTGGGTCACACGCCTTACGACCTCTGACCGTGTGAGGCTGCTGTTATGCCCATTACCTGGATGAGGGACTGAGGCCCAGAGCCTGTGAGCTGTCCAGGGTAAGACCACCTGTCAGTGGTGGAGCGTGGAGAGCACCCGGCCCAGCCGACTCCAGAGCCCAAGACCTCGCCATGAATTTCCCAGCCCGGCCTTTCCCCATCCCCCTGTGCCTTTGTGCGTTTGTCCCAAACCCCTGTTCCTCCTACTTTCTGGATTGAGTCCGAACATCTTCGCCTGGCGTTCAAGGCCCGCGGTCCTCCAGCCCCAGGCTCCCGGCCTCCCTCTGCGTTTCAGCGGGCTGGCCGGTCAGCGGCTCAGTTCCTTCCTCCCTTGTCACCTCCGTGCTTGCGGCTGCGCAGTGTCCTCCTGCGTCAGATCCCACCCTCTCGGGAGGTCAACTCTGGGTCCCTTTCTCTGCGGTGGCCACCCCAGCTCCCCGGCCTCCCTGGGTCTGAGCGGCTGGGGTTAATCGGGTCACATTTATGGGGCCTCATCTTCCCTTTACGGCCGTTTGCTGTATCTGAAGCCCCTGATTATTTGGTGGGTGGATGGGGGGGGTGGGCAGGGCTAGCCAGGCAGCGGAGGGCAGCTGTGGGAGCCTGAGATGGAGGGTGGGGGGATGGGGGGAGGGGTTCTGGGGCAGAGGAGCCCCCAGGCGGGAGGGAGGCGGGCACACGGTGGCGGCCGGAGGTCTAATGGAACCCGTCGTGTCCCGTAGGAGCTGGAGAAGCAGTACACCCCCAGCAGATGGACTGTCCTCCGCGGAGCAGAGGAAGCCCTGAGGACCTACTCACAGATAGGAAGCGAGGGTAAGGGCACCCCTCTCGGCCGCTTGGGTGGACTTTGGCGTGTGACAGCGGTTCAGAACCTGGGGCTGGGGGTGGAGCCGCTGCCCAGCCAGCGCTCAGGGCAGTTCCCAAGGCCTGGGCACTGTCTAAGCCTCCCAGTGCGCTCAGGCCCGGTGCCAGGAGAGCGCGGGAGGCCCAGCCAACCGTGCCCCTTGCCCCTCCTGCCCTGCCAGCCATGCCAGGCCTTAAGGCCACACGCCCGGTGGCACAGGGCGACGGAGTGAACAAAGGAAGGTCTCTTTTTCATTAAAGACATCGGGGCTTGGGGACCTGCGGGCTAGTGAACGCCAAGCTGGGTCCCCCCTCGGCCTGGGTTTGCAGAGCGCTGCGCTGTGGTTTCAACGCTCCGGGGAGGCGGACTTCGCGGGAAGCGTGAGCAAGAGGCAGCCACCTCCCTCCGTGGGAAAATGGGTTGTTGGCGCAGACTCCTCCAAGCTGGCTGGTGGCTGTCCCACCTGAGGTGCCAGCAGGAGGCGCAGGCTGGGGGCTGGTTCCGTCCCCACAGAGCCGGGCGGAGCTGAGTCCTGGGCTCTTCAGAGCTCCCTGCTGAGCCCAGCTGGGAGCCAAATACACCCTATTTGCTCAGTAAATATTTGAGGGCGCAGTGCCACCCGCATGAGTTTGGAGAAAACCTGTTTGTCTGTCTTACTCGTCTGGAGGGGGAGAGGGGGTCTCCCATTAGTAGCAGGAGCTGAGACGACGGTGCTGGTGCTGCCGTGGCCGCAGACACTGTCCTCAGTCCCCGCGCTCCGTGGCCCCGGGTCAGCTTGCAGCCCGTGTCCCTCTCCCTCCCGCTCCCACAGACCAGCCGGCCCAGAGGTGCCTCGAGACGGGAGCATCTCCCTCAGGGCCAGGCGAGTGGGGTGGAACCTGTCGCTATTTAAAATGCTGACATTTTGTTCATTGTGGACTTTGGGGCATTAATTTTAATTTAAAAAATATCTTGCATTTAAATATCATTTGTCTTATGATTGGTCAGCTCCAGCTTCCATAACACAGTGCCATCGGCTGGTGAGGTTTCTCGCAGCTCTGGAAGCTGAGAAGTCCTAGGTCAAGGGGCCAGCCAATTTGGTTCCCTAGGGAGGGGCCTCTTCCTGGCTTGCAGACAACCAGCCTCCTGCTATGTGTCCTCACATGGTAGAGAGAGAGAGAGAGAGAGAGAGAGAGAGACTTCCCATCTTTCTTTCTCTTCTTATAAGGCCTCTTATCCCATCACAGGGCCTCCACCCTCATGCCCTCATCTAACCCTAACCACCTCCCAAAGGGGCCGCCTCCAAATACCCTCACATTAGGGGTGGCTTCAACATGAATTTGGGGGAGGCACCCACATTCAGCCCATAACAGTCTTCATTGCTGAGTGTTTTGTTGTTGTTGTTTTAATATATTTTTATTGATTTCAGAGAGGAAGGGAGAAGGAGAGAGAGAAACATCCATGATGAGAGAGAATCATGGACCGGCTGCCTCCTGCACGCCCCCTATCGAGCCCGAAACCCAGGCATGTGCCCTTGACCGGGAATCGAACCCGGGACCCTTCAGTCCGCAGGCCGACGCTCTACCCACTGAGCCACACGGGCCAGGGCCATTGCTGAGTGTTTTGTTGTCCACCTCCCAACGCTATGCCCCAAGAGAGTAGCGTCCCGAGGCCAGGCCCTGAATGACGAGGTTAAAAATGTTCCCCAGGCTCAGAGCAGGTGATGTTTGACCCCCTGAACACAGCTTCCGGGTAAGAGTGGAGCAGGTGGTGTGGGGGGGGGGGGG